TATTTATCAGCCGAAAGATGGTGATGAAAATTAATCATCGCGCTTAACTATAAATAGCATCGTTTTAGTTTCTAACAAAACCCGACCACAAGCAGAATCCGAACTTTCACTGTCCCCGTGGTATGTACATCACAGACCACTTTACTAGGACACTCTGCTCCGACAAAATCTTGCAAAAAACAACATACCTCAGCTCCCGATAAAATGCTGCATCGGCGAACATTTTTGGTGCAAAACTAGCCAAAACGAAGAGAATGGCAGCAGCAGTTTCACGTTCCGCAAAATACAACTCCAGGAACCCAAAAATGCATACAACATGTGGCGCCATTATTGGAATTGCTGCGAAAATCGCTGCTAGCACTGCAGAAAAAAAAAACAGGAAAAGTCTGATTTGCGGTAAAACTCTGTTCCTGTCGGTTTAAAAATTGCAAAAAAAACATTTTTAACAATGTTGTAAGATTACATATTTCCAGAATAATTACTCTTTCATCACTTACTCGATGGTATGAAGACAACATTGATATCGAACAATGCATGGATGAAATACGTATAGAAGCCATAGAAAACTGACATTTTCGCTGATAGAACAAAAACACCGCTGAAATGTGAATTCGTTTAAGGAAGTTTGAAGAATTTCATTTAAATCAGTCGTTAAAAAATCAAGACTTCCTCCGTATTCGCTTCCTGCGAGAGCAGAAAACTATGATGTATGACCTCCGCATTGGCGGCAAGTAAGACAGTAATCTCTATGTTTTGCTCTGTTGTGGTGTGGGTGTTCGTATGTGTGTGTGTGTGTGCATGTGTGTGTGTGTGTGCATGTGTGTGTGTGTGTGGCATTCAGTAGAGGTTGTGAGCAAGGTTGAGGGACAGCCAGTGCGCCTCCGCAAGTGCACAGTGCCCGGCCGCTTTTGCCCTATCGATTGCTGCCCGGCCACTGTGTGCGCCATGCTCGCGCCGCTGTTCCCTTTGCAATTGTTTGTTGAATTTTATTGGTGCTGTAATTAAATCCTTATTCACAAGCTGTACGCAGATAGACACAACAATACTTTCAAGAAGTATTAACAGCACAATCAGTGGTAAGGTTGTCGATGGTTCCCTCGATCGAGGATTGCTTATCAGCAAGATGATCGTGGTCAGATTTTTGCAAAAAAACGGAAAAAAGAATTTAATAACCGTATCGCATTTTCGATTGCAGTGGTGATATCAAGAGCTTTGCTTGGTTTTTCAGGTGAGGAACCGGATACACTAGTTGTGGCAAATGATCGTGGTACCGCATCACTGATCCATTTGATTGGAAGCCAAATATCGTGACTGCTAGCCAGTAGGTAATAGAGGGCGGTCAAGAAAACGATCTATAACATAGGATGACTGGAAGCAGTACTGTTTGCAGTTAGAGAAATATAAACGAAAAACGTGAAACACAACTTTCTTCGCTGAAAATCAAAAATTTAAAGACGGCTGGTCGATAAAAGATAAATACTCGTTATGGGTGTTTAGTGCGATGACGCAAACGAACTCGGAGATATTGAGCAAAGCTCGAGTCAGAGTTCCTCTTCCCTCTTACCTTTCGTCGTTAATAAGGCAAAATATACAAAAATGCCTGAATGTCGCAATTTGGACACCTCCTTTGCCTAAGCAAAAGCAGAAACGCTAAGCCCAAAAAAATCTACGAACCAAAATTTTCGTCTGCCCAAGAAATTTCGATTCTCATTCTGGAAATAGTTTTGAAAAATGCAAATCAAAAATTAAACTTACAATTTCGATAAAGAAATTGACAATTTCCAAGCCAAAATT